GTAGCTCTTCATGGGGCCACAGCCAGCCTTGGAGGGCCCTCTGAGAGGAGACAGGGAGGTGATGAGTGGGCCGGGGGAGTTGAGGCCGATGGAGCTGGGGTAGAGGCGGGGACCCGAGCTACCACCACCCCCCGACGGACATCGTATCGGGTACATGTGGTGGTGGTGCGGGGACTGTTTGGGGGAGGAGGAGAGAGGGTGGTCTATCAGAGCAGGGCTGTTTCCGCGCGGGTTGGAGGCGTAGACGTGAGGAGAGAAGCGATGCTGAAGGGTGCCGCATGACGACGACGCTGCTCCTCCTACTGATGATGATGATGAGGATACGTTGTGGGGCTGGAAGCGGGGCTGGGAGTGAGGGGAGGAGCAGGATACGAGCGGGCCATGTGGGCCGTGGTGGGATAGCGGGGAGGAGGAGGAGGGAGAGGTGGAGGAGGGGAAGGATTTCAGGGAGTGGGTGTTGAGGCAGCGGTTCGCTGGGGCGTGCGGAGGGTGCACCGAGCAGCGGATGAGATTATCCATGGATACGCTGTAGCTGTGCATGTCCATGGGAGATTCCTTACGTCTGGAGCAGGAGGAGGACACTGGCGAGCTGTTGCCGTGGGCGGAGCCTAGTCTGAGCGGGAGAGGGGTGGAGCTTGAGGAGGACGGGTGGTGGTGTATCAACACGCCCGACGCCGACACGCTGCTCGGGAGGTAGTGGTGGCTGCTCATCTTAGGAAACAGGTTCGAGTCCGCGGTCAGGAAGTGGGAGGATCGCGGAGAGCGGGACGGGATTCCTGTAGAGGGCATACAACATTTCAGTCTAAATCTATTATATCTTTGGCAACTTGGAAACACATGTGTCACTTTCCCCATAAAACTACGACAGCTACAGAGTTGAAAGGGGTGGGTGTCAACAGAGAAGTCTTTACAGGGAGTCAGACTTAGACTGCTCACCTCTCTAGCTCCAACAGCACAAGGTCTGCTTCGACTATCAAGGCACCCCGGAAATAGCAGGTCACAAGAGAGTGACAAACATACAAAAGAAG